GGATGCTGGCATCACACTCTGGCAGGGACTCCCAAAGCAGCTCCCCAGCCTGGGACCACATCCCCAAGCTCCCCTAACTCCAATCAACCCAAGGAAGTGCAGCAAAAACTACTAATTCCTAATATCATTGAATGGTTTGGGTTGGAAAGAACCTTAAAGCCCATCCAGTTCCAATCCCCTGCCATGGGCAGGGACACCTTCCACTATTCCAGGCTGCTCCAAGCCCTGTCCAGCCTGCCCTTGGACGCTGCCAGGGATGGGGCACCCACAGCTTCTCTGGGCAAACCTGTGCCAGGGCCTCCCCACCCTCATCATAAAAAACTTCTTCCTATTATCTAACCTGAATCGATGCTCCTTCAGTTTAAAACCATCACCCCATGTCCTGTCACAACAGTTCCCAAAGGTCCCGCTAGACTGGAGTCTGACACCAAAGTGACTTCTCTCCCCACCACACAACACAAAAGGCAACAGTGCCCAGCCTGGGCAGAACCCAAAATCCACTCACACAGGACTTTCCACAGACAGAAACCTTCACAAACATGCTCTGCATATTTTTGGTCCCTCCTCTTTCCCTGGAAGATGTCACCCAGTTGAGACTGTGTGTAACCAGTTAGTAACAGACACCACTGTGCCACCTCCAAGGGTGGAACAAAAACTTTACAAACACCTTTTTAGGAGCCAGAGACTAAACAGTACTCAAAGCGAGGACTGAACTTTGTCAGGGTCAGAATCAACCAGTGTTCTGAACATGTGGATCCCAATATAAAATGCAATTTAAAACCATTCTGTTGTACCTCCTGCAATACCACTCCTGTGAGACATCATGAAACCCAAATCAGTGTCTGATGGCCTCACATAGTACAAACACGCAGTTTGCTGCTGCTCAAATGTTCTCAGAATACCAGTGACAGCCTAACTATGAGATTTAGGTTCACCCTGCCCACCAGAATCCTATATATGCAAAAAAGAAAATACTGATTCTACTAAATCTAAGTTGCCTCAAAAAAAAAAAAAAAAAAAAAAAGAGGAGGAGAGCTCCAGGCTCAATTTTCAGGAGACACCTTAAATATTCCAACCACAGCAGCCCTGCTGTTTCAGAGAACATAGGTCCTCAACTGCACCATGCGCTCTCACAAAGCCAAAAAAAATAAGAGGAATTTTTCTGAGAGTGGGAATGCATGTGTTATTACACGTGTAGGATCATTTCTGTGCACAGAACACACAGCAGCCTGTCACACTCAGCACACCGACACCATAACCTCCAGCAGCTGCACGGAGCCACTCGTGGGACAGCCCAGAATGGCAAAGGCTGAGGGGCCTGTACATTGCCAGCTCCAAATTCTCCACTGAAAGGTAATTCACGTCCTGTGCAGCTATGCCACGTTTATTTCCCTCGTGGATTTACTGCACCCTGCTGAAGCCGTGAGCACGCGGCTGATGTGGGCAATGCCACACACCTGAGCCCTGCACACCTGCCTGGTGGCTGCACTGCACCTGCACTGCCCAGGTGCTCCCCACACGCTGACTGCAGGACCAACCCCTGGCATCAGAATCACTGCCTTGGCCTGGGAGACACCTGGCACCTCCTCTAGTCCTGCCACGGCCAGGGACACCTTGCACACACCCCCAGGGATCCAAACTCCTCACCTCCAGGAAAGCTGATCTGTGCTCTTAAAAACACCCCTGCGATACAGTGCTGTCACCTCCCCTCCTACCTTGCTGAACTTGCCCAAAGTGGCTTAAAAAGTTTCTAAACATCAAAGAAGCCAAGACACACAACAGACAGGGCTGGGGGCCAGGGCACATACTCTGTTTTGTGGTCTGTCAAAGGCTTGACAGAATTATAAGAGAGCAAAACTAAGGTGTTAAAATTAGATGCCTCATTATTTCTAATAGGAAACAAGAGCAATGCCGCACCTGTAACACGTGTAAATTGAGGCAGTATTTGGAAGTTCAATTAAAGCCATTTCTCATCTCCAACAACCCAGCTTGGCCCTGCTATTATCAAAGAAATCACAGATTTCGTGTTGTATTTCAAGTCTGATATACATACATATGCATATATGTATTTACATATGCATGTACATATATATATATATCTGTTAAAAATCTGTTAAGCATTTGCAATTCTAAAATCCCTCAGGCTTTCTGCATCTGTGCAGCTTTGGCTGAGGCATGGGACTGACAGCCACAAATATTTTATGAACCTGAGGTTGGGCCCTGCAGCAAAGAGGCACTGAAATCTGAAGGCTTTGCACAGGGCCAAGGTTTGGAGAGGGAAGGCTGCAGCAGGACTTGGCACGGATAATACTCTGGGGAGTAAAACGTGGCATTACCTATCTGGAGCACCATCTCCAGCAGGTCTCACAACCTCTCACACACAAAACAATTTCAAAGTAAGGTTTAATTGGAGCAAGAACTCAAACTGAGAAATTTAAAGAACCAAGAGAAGTTACTGTTCAGGAGTTCTTGCAATGCAACTTAATACAGGCTTCAAATATTGTGAGACAAGCCCTTTGTAAAATCAATTATCACATCTAGGAGTAATATGTGGATATGTACAGTGTAACCTAACTATATAACATCTAGGAATAATACCTGTAGTCCAGACAAATCCCAGTCTTCACCAATCCTGCACACACACGAGCTTTAATGCTCAGTTTTGCAGTGACATTTCCTGATATTTAGGAATCATAACAATTTACTGAGCTTCTGATCTACCATGTGCATTTGATGATCTTTCTTAGAAGCAGCCAATTGGGAAAGCATTGATTCTGTTCTTTCTACTGAAGTTTGGCTTTGGTGTAAAATCCTGCCTTCCTTAAATGACCTTGTGCCTCAGGTTCTCCCTCTCCATGGAGCCTGCCCGGATGGAAACAGAACCCAAGGCTGGGATCCCCCATGAGGCAGGGCTGGAGACGCAGATCCTGCTCTGTGACACACCACAACATGCGTCCATGACCTGCTCAGGTTTCTAGCCTTAATAAAAGCAGAATTGACAAGAACCGTATTTTATGTCTAAAATATTGCCATTACAATGCAGAAACCCACCTCCTCTCTGGCTGCCCTGTATGACAACTCCAGTCGTGCATCCCAAAGCTGGGAAAGCCTTTTTGGCTGAGAGACCACAGTTAAATTAAGGTTACCCTCATTCGCCACCCAGCGACTCGTCATTTCATTTCCAAACTTTTTTTGGCATTATCTGTGTAAGAAGGGGATCCGAGTACCAAGGTGCCAGACAAGGAGCACCAGACTGCACATGAAACACAAGCAGTCTGTAAATGACAATGCCTCTAGTTTCTCCTTCATGGTGCATTAAAACGGACTATTAAACCAAACAGACACAGTTAATTGTTTTAAAGCCACTATTAATCTAGCAGATTGTTACATGAAGAAATATAGTGCACCTGTTATTTTTAACAAAGCAGCCTAAGATTTATGGTCAAGATTTAACCACAGGAAACAGGAGAGAAAAAAAATGTGAGACACGAAAATTGCAGTTGTAAAATACATTGTGAAAAAGAAAAAGGAAGGGAAAGAGGTAGGGCTTGTGAATTTTGTATAACAGGTACATGCCATAAAATTATTCCTGTTCTAAGGTGGTGAGTTTTGAAAAGATGTGTGCCAAATAAAATGCAAAAACCCCCACCCCGAATCTTCCAAAGAAATGATAACACTGTTCCCTGTCTAGGTTAACGGCTGGACTTGATGATCTTGAAGGTCTTCTCCAACCTAAACGATTCTGGGATTCTGCGTGCACCTCCCACTGGCTTCACCAGCTCCACACTATCCCTTTGTAATTTAACAAGTGCTTTGGTTTTAGTCACATTCTTAAAGAAACCTTTGGGGAGGGGGATAACTGCGGGGAGAGAAAGGGAGTATTTTTTTATTGATTCCATTTCTGTCCCTGATTCACACAAAACAAGTTTCCCTGCAGAGGGAGGGAAGTTGCACACTTCAACACTCCCTTACCTCTCAAACATAATGAAAATCAGCTCTCCTGATGTGACTCCCTAAACCCACAAAAGACAAAAGCTGCACCACAGAAATGAAAAATAAGAAGTAAAAATCCTGTTGCAAGTCAGTTCCTTCAGCACCAACGGGAGTGGCTGGTTCAGCTCCAGCTTGGAGCTCCCTGCCCTGAAGTTATGATGTTAACTGGTTACCTCACAAAACACTTCAAATCTGTCACATCAGTAGTTTTTGTCACATCAGTTTCCTTTGTTCTATTACAGAAGGCCATTCCATGACAGAAGACTAAACCAGCAGCTGGAGGAGGGCTGCCAGCAGTCCCTATGGTAAATGGTAAATAACGACCGCCACTGGATCCCAAGAGATAACGCTGTTATCCTGGAAGCGGCCAGCTGCTCCGAGGGCACTCTGACCAGGACCAGGGGAAGCTGCAGACTGCATCCCACCTAACCAGAACCCTACACATCAGCTTTGCATGGTATCAGCGTCCATGAAGAACAGAGGTAAAGAGTTGATCCCACTATCTTTCCATTAAATGCATCTTGGCATCACAGGATGCCAGGACAGAGACCCCTGGCTCCCTTAGCCCTCCTGAAAATCCCAGGCAGGAGCTGTGTACACAGATCCTTCCAATCCACACACTTGCTGGGAAAGCATACAGGCAGGCAAGAATTAATACTTTGACTTGAATTTGCTGGGACGCTTCCAAATCACTTCCATTTCCAGAAGGAATTAAAACAGGTGCTTTGTCTCCGCAAAGCAGCTTAAGCTAAAATCCCGATACCACTTGCTGCTCTCCCATGGGGTCACGGTCATTAAATATTTAAGCCAAAACAACGGTAATTTGAGGCGAGAAAGCAGCAATGTTTAGCAGATAAACCTCTGCCTCTCCAGATTCCCCATCTCCACTTGCTCTCCGTGAGGCTCCAGCTGCTTTAAGAGCTCAACAGATCCACGAGGCACAACCCCAAATACTGTTTAAAAACCAGAAGCTTAAAAGAAAATGAGAACTGAGCTTCTGACCTTACCTAGGGTCATCTGACCACGTCACAGCCGGGGTTATTTCCAGGGCAGCGTGTGAGAGCTTTCACTGCAGCTGCTTCAATAGGACTTTGCCCGGGGATTAATGGATGACTTCGGCTTCTCTTTCTTACCAGCCTTTACAATTCAGGAGAACACACAGAGGATTTCTTCTGCAGCAGCTGAGTAAAAAGACAAAAGTGAGCTAACCTCCTGACCTGCACAATAACCCCATGGAGGAGTCCATTCAACAGAGCTGCTTGCTGTTCCTGGGAAAAGGAAGAGAAGAGGAAACAATACTTTGGATGCTGTTGAAGAGGGGAAACTACCACAGCGATATTTTTGCTCAACTTCTAGGCATCTTTTCACAAAAGCAGAAGGAGCGGGAACTTCCAATCCCAGGCACCAAAGAGGAGGAGGGAGGGAAAGGGAGACCTCGAGCAGAAGGGACCATGACATGGATGCACATGTTTGGCTTCAAGTATATAAATTTATATATAAATCCCAGAGACATTAAAGCAGGCTGCTCTGTCAGCTCCAATTCAAGCGTGTGACAGTCTGTCACCACCCTGGCATTCTCCAGAGCTGTGCTATGGCACAGGGGCTGCAACTCCAGAAATCCCCAGGACAGTATGGGATAGCCAGATACTCTGATCTGCATTAAAAAAAGCATTACAACACTACACAGGGTATTTTTTCAGGATTTCATTTACATTCCAGACTCTTTGCAACAAATTGCAGGATGATATCTGAAAATTCACCTCAGGTTAGTGGTGTAGTTACGCATAGGTAAGGGTGTACAGGAAAAGATGTGGGGAAATATGTATAAACACAGACTCCTCATTGCTTCCTGCTTCTTTTCTGTTGGTTAGTCAAGCTCATCAGTGTTTATGACATCAAACACAACAGACAAGCATATATGCATCCTATGTTGTTCCAAGGAGAAATGGTTAAAATCAGTTCCAAAAGCGGAGCTTTTTCCTACTGAAATTGCTCACTGCAGTATTTGTGACCTGTGTCCTATTTCCCCTCTCTTTTGGGAGCTTCAAAGTGCCCTTTTGCTTTTGTATGATGATTGTATGGAGAAATGCTTACAAATATAATTATTTATTGCTTTTATTTGGTTCGCACACCTTTATCCAGACTGGAATGCTCAGTTTAAGTGGCCCCTGGTTCCAGGAGGTGCCCTACAGTGTTGTCTGTCCCAGCAACACACAACACTTCATTTTGAAAACAATTAAAAATGGCACAGCATCTGAAGACTAAGAAAACACTCAAGTTTCCTTATGTCCAACAGCATTTCTAAAAGGATATCACACATATCAAGATCAGCATAACTAAGGGATTTCAATCTCTCCTCTTTCCATCTTTATTTCCCAGATGAAACCGTGGTACATTTTGCAAAGGGCAAGCAGTAATACCGTTTTCCCCTTTCTTGAGCCTCAAGTTGTGTGCAAAGTCACGCAACACGTGTCCTTTGTTGGAGCTCTGATACCTCTGTGGATTTAATGGATTCAGCCGAGTTCACAAAATGAATTCAGAAGTTGTGCAGGAACATGAACAGCCATGAGCCCAAGGGCCCAAGCATTCTGCTGGTTTTAGTGCACTAAGAATAGTAATGAAGGAAGTATAATTAAAGCATATTCCTTACCTTGCAGTTCCAACTTTAATTTGGAATCTTAGCTTTCCCAGGGTCTTTCTGCAGCTTCCCCTCAGCCTCCCAATCTGTGCAGCAGGTTCTGACTTCAGGACAAGTTACAGGAGGTCCAAAACACAAGTGTAGCATTCACCTTCAAATGGGAAGTTCATCTTCTGAGGAAGTTCAAGCCAAATATAAAATATCAGTAACTGCCACCACCTGTTTGCTTCATTCCCTGCCAGCATTGCTCACCTGGCTGTCCCTTGTCAGAGCCTGAGCAAGAGTACCTGCAGTGCAAGTACTGAGCAATGTCCTTCAGTGAAATAGCCAAATAATTAGAATTTGTAAACTTGGATTCCTATTAGAAAAGAACCACGTCTTAAAGAAAAGTATGGTTTTTAATCTCGATGGAAGAAAGGGCTTAGACCATCACTATTCAGTGTCAAATGAAATAAAGAAGCTCTCATGTAGTGATTCTCCCAGAGTGCCATGCAGTATGACACATGATCCTTTTCCTAGTCTCTTAATTTGCTGTTTGCTGCCTTGCTGCTTTGTGGAAGAGACACTTGACACCACAGTCTTTCACAGGCTTCATTCTACACCCAACTAGAACCTGAATTCAGCCCAGGAGAATGAGGGAATTCAAACCCTGGGCAAAGTGAGTGCCACTTCACAGCTCACTGATTCCATTTTCAAACTAGAAACCCTCCTTATTTCTGCCAGCTCTGGGACATGGGTGATCCCCTTCACTTCCTACTTACACAAACCACTGCTCAGGATCCATCAGTCAATAGCTGAGCCCTTCAGTCTTGTTTATCCCCCCTAGGATATGGTGTTTCTAACTGCCCTACAAGACATACTGGCACAGTCTTCCCATTTTCCTTAATAAAAACCAAAAGGCTTTCTGAATGTGAGGTTCACATGTTACAAGTTGAGTATTTCAACCTTTTCCTTAAAACCTTCTGTGGAAAGCCTAAAAAGCAATAACATAGAATACTAAAATGTGACTAATCTCAGTACTTTTTTGGTCATTCTCAGTAATTTCTAGCTTGCTTTTTTAACCCTTTGGGTTGGCAGCAGCATGTTCTGGTAACACCACTTTTATCTTTTGCAGTACATTAACTCCTTGTCCTTTGCAGGTTTTACTGAATCTAACGCCTTAAAGACAAATAAAAGAAAAAGTGCATAATTTTATCTATTTTTCTTTAGAGCTCTATAAAGCTCTGTATTCCACATGATTTAAACAGCAAAACCACTCATCAGCTCAGGTCATTGAAGAGGTTTTTAAGTATTGGACCGAGTTTATAGGAAAGCTTTCCCACATAGAAATCTGGCTCTAACTCTGGAGGTCTGGATGATTTAAAGTTACCTTCCTGGGCCATCTGTGCCAGCAGTGAGCTGTCCCCTCTGATAAGGGGCAGAGTGGAAAAAAATCAACAGTGACTCCTTAAAATCACCCTCAGTGGGAGGGGTGCCTGCCAGAGGTCAGGAATCCCAGCCCTGCTGCTACTGAAGCCCTTCATTTTCTGTGCAGTGTTCCATGTGTGAAGTGATTGAGTGGTTGCTCTGTTCTGCCTTTCCAAGGCACTTTCTATATTTAACCCATGACTGTATAAAACACCTCGGTGTGCCTCAAGTATGGGAGGCAAATACAGTAGGCAAATACATCTGAAGGGCTCAAAGAGAGCCCTGAGGACCGGAAAAAAGAGAAACCAGCGTTGAAAATAACCTGAAATATGCTGGAGTGACAATCCCATTTGTCCAATAAAATATTTGTCTGTTTGCCCAAACCAGCTTCGAAAGGAGCTGGAGGATGAGAAGTGCCTTTATACTGAGTCACTGGAAGCAAAACCGAGTCCCTCTGGTGGGCCCAGCCCAAGGACCATTGCAGGCATCAGAGGCTGGGAACCTGCCTGGGCGCTTTGGCTTCCCCCTCCTGATGGCTTCTGAGTGCTGACAGCACAGCAGTGCTTTATTCCCATTTTTATTTCTCCTGTAATACCATTCCCAGCCCTTCATCCTTGTCTTTGTTTCATCCAAGCTTTCACTGATGTGATCCATCTGCGCTGGGCTGGGACTGCCCACCCTGTGTGAGTCAGCGGCACAACACATCCTCAAGATTCGTTTTCCAAATATCAACATAGTCACTGACATCAATCCCACTCGCCCTATAGCAGAGCACTCGTGTTTTTTATACAGCGATACAGAAGGAGAGACCCTCAGTTAGCACAAACTGATGTAGTTCCTTAGAAAACACTGGATTGCCACCAGGTAAGTACCTGACCTCACCAAAGGGTCAGTACATCTAAGGGATTACAGGATTTCAGCCCAAAATGCAGATTAATAAAGGATATTGTTGCAGCAGGGAAGAAACAAAAGGAAGAGGCTCAGAGTGAAAAGATGAAGTACGGTAGGAAAGAACCTTTTGGACAGTTAAAAAAGACAGAGCCCAAGCTAACACCTCTGGAAACCCTCCTGCTGGTCTAAAACTCCTTATCAAAGGACCCTTGGCCTTCTCAGTCTGGCTGATAACTGAGCAACCTTTCACTTCTTATTTCAAAGAATCTCTTTTTAAAGTAAACACCTTTCCTGCCAGTGAGGATACAACCCAGGGTACATTATTTTCCACGAGGGAGGCCTTTTCTCCCATTACGGGTGTTCCAATTAACCTCTTCCCATACACCATTATCAACATTAAAGCCTAAATTTAGTGGAAAAAGATCTTTGGTCTCACTCTCCTACTTCACAATTTATCTAAGAATCAAGGGAATGAATAACTGTCAGTATGGGCTAAATTTTCAAGTTCTTCATCTTCATGATTGCTGCCATTTATTAGAAATCAGCATACAGGGTTACTAAGACATCTTGAAAATGGGTTAAGTTGAAGCTTTGTGCTGGAAACGTGCAAATAATTGTATTTTTTTTTCTATTTAACTATATAAAGGAGACTCTTTTTTATGGCTGTGTGTACATACGTGCTTCCTTAACATGGCTGGGTTTTCCTGTCCAATAAAACAAAATTTGGCAAATGGAGAAGATCTCCAAGACAGTCTCCTTGTCAAGGACACTGTTCCTGCTAATTCTGCAGTCTAAGCAGTAGGGTGAAGGAGTCCAAGTGACTTGAAAGAAAAGCTGCAACATCAGCCTCCAAGGGAGGAAAGTCCTTCAAAATAGATCAAGGAAATACATGAATGACTTCTTCCATGATACAATGGAAGTATTTATACTTTATTGAAGCAATGCCATCACACGCACAGAAACAGTTCCTAAATGGAAAACAGAAGGATTTGATTTTGACTGCACAGGTAGCTGCTGAATAATAATTCTGGATTAAATGCCAAAAGTACTCAGTGTGATGCAGATAAACCAGATTACCCCTAAAATACTTGTCAGAGCTTTTCCTTAGGGATCCATTAAGTCCTGTGCTACAGTTAAACACTTAAGCACGTGAAGAACAGGAAATATCTATAATCCCATATAAGTGCTCTTATTTTTTTAGCTTCCTGAGTGCTTTGCCAGGGGATATGTGTACGTATAATTTGAACTCAAAGTGTAAAAGCAGGAAATGAGAAAAACTAATGATTTAACTGCTGACCATTTGAAAAGATTTTACATTTTCCAAGGAGTTAGCCTAGGAGCAAAAATATGGAAAAAACCCCATCAGAGTCTTACTGATTTTAAATCCTGAACTGGGGATTTCCTCATAATATTGAGGCTTCAAAATATCCAGGCTCGGATTTTTTTTTTTCAGTTTCAATACTGGTATGAAATCTTTTATTGGAATTAAATCCTAATTTAGGATTGCAATCTAGCAAGAAGGAACTGAAACAAAATGAAATCTAAACCTGCATGTCCAGAACTGACACATTTTAATATTCTGCTGCCTAAAGTTCTGAGAAAATATCCAGCTACCTTCCCAGGAAATTGGTTTTCATCACTTCAGAGCAAAGCTGGCTGGCTGTTTCTGCACCTGTACTCAGTACAATATGCTCTGCCTTGTCAAATAGGATACTCAAGGTATAATCCCAATGTTGGGTGCAGTCCAAGCTATGAAATTAGATTTACCACAAGATATTTGGTGCCAAGACTGTGACATGAAAAGTCTGAGCTGAAAACACTGGTTTTTTTCAAAGTAACTAATGGTTGTGACTGAGGGAGTCTCAGTAGGCCCTGTTTTTTGAAGATTAAACTTTTCCCATTTCAATAAACACAGAAAGATACTAGGCTGGTACTGTGTTAAGAAAAATAACCAGAAAGTCAGAGCCTACCTTTATTGGGCAATATTCTTCATTTCTCACCAAGTAAAGATTATTTCAAGTACCTAATTTCAAATGGGGAGGTGATGCAGCTGCTTCTGCACGTTAGGGCTGGACAAGCCCTGAATTATCAGGGCACACACAGCCATAGGTACGTTGGAACAGTGCCAATACAGTAGCAGTGCTGGCTGGAATCACTTTGGAATTAGACAGGCATAGCTGTCTAAAACTGGAAGAAGCCAACAGAGGACAAAGAAATATCTGGCCAAAGTGTTAAAAATCTTCTATCTCAGGTTACTTATTTCTGTGAACGAGGCAAAAACCTTGCAGTCAGAGTGCTGGCTCCCTTCTCACCGCTGCAGTCCCAAATCAATAACTCCCTCTCTCCCTGTTCCTCACTCTCACCTTCTCCCTACTTCGCTCAGCGTCCCGAGTGTTCCCAGGGTGACCTGCTGAAGTGCTCCCCACACCACAGAGTGGAAAACCACGAAGTGTCTGGGTGGACAAGTGAGACACCGAGACTCTTACCTGCTGCCTGGCTCCTTTCTGTGGGTGACCCTGCTGCTGCAGCCCGTGCCAGCTGCACCACAGAGCCATTTGTTTGGAATTCACCTTTCCTGCCACTGTGGGAGCCGCTGTTTGGCAGCGCTTCTGCACCTCTTGACTCACACGATGCTCTTGGCTCATTTCACGTCCTTTCCTCGAGCTACAGAGAAAAGAAACAAACTGTTTAACACCAAAATCAGCTTTGAAAAATGTCACTCAGTGATGTAATCTGTGAACTCTGTGTTCTAGGAAGAGGAAACATGCTTGCTTCCAGACACATAAAAGCTCCAGTGCATACAGCACAAGAGAGAGAATCAACTCGTCTTCATCAGAAATCTACTTTAACATCTCAAACATACTTGAAGTGACATTTAACCTCACCTGAGGAAGGTAACAGGTGATTCTCCATCCTAAAAATCAGCACTGAGGTGAGAGCTGCAAGCCCAGAAGGTGCCTCTGCTGTGCAAGGTGCTGTGTGATAACACAGAACAAGAGACAACCCTGCAGGATTTAAAGGCAAAAGACACGAAAAGGAATTGGAATTAAAGGAGCACAGGATGTAAGTGTCCTCCAGTGCCAGGCAGTATGCCAGCTGATGTTCCCTTTTTTTTTTTAAGAGAACAGTCATTGGGAGTTCACCTGCACAAGCTGATGAATAAAAGCAAATGCCATCCGGGTCACTTTGAGTCCCAGGAACACAGAGGCAACTCCTTTGTCTGTAGCTACACACAATGCACTGGCAGTGCAGGTCTGAGAAGAAATGAGGTAGCACCAGTACAAGCAGCACCAGGTGACATCTCACATTTATGCAGCATCACAGCACCTCAGGGTCACTGAGATCACTCCAATTCCCTGAGGGATTTAATGCCCATGGAAACTCGGAGTGAAGGAACTGCTGCCTCATCCTTGTAGTGTCTGCCATCAGAGTTAGAGCTCTGACTGCCAGCAGGGAGGGATAAGGGGAACAGTGTCGTGGGGGCCATCACTGCACAGCTGTGGAGGAAAACAGCCTCTTCCCAACTGAAACGACTGGAGGACAATTCTTTTAAAACTTCTGCCTATTTCTTTGAGGGAGAGGCCTTCAAATGAAACTTTTTTTTTTTAATGGGGAAGGAAATACCCCTTGATGCTTTTATAGTTAGAGCAGGCAATGTAGAGATAGTTTACACCAAGGGACTGTGTTATGTGGGAACCTCGCTCCAGGAACAGTGGGGAGACTACAATCAAAATGACAAATCCAACTGCTCTGGACCTTCATTTCCATGCTTTCCATCCTCTGAATGGCTCAGACAAACTGAAACCATCCGGCATTTCATGCAGCCCATTTGACTTAACAATGAGGCGGCTGCCTCGGGCACCTTCGGGGTGCTGGGAATGACATGGATTTGCATTTGCAAAGGCCCTTTTTACTCCCTCCCCATATTTCAGCTCCCTTATCATCCCACCCAGCTCTCCCAGCCATCCCATCTAGAGGCACAGGATAAAGCACGTCCACAGGCTGACCAAAACGCCCAGCAGACAGAAAATGCTGTTCCCAAAGCCTCCAGCTCATGCTAACAAATGCAGCTGTTGCTCTCAGAGCTGGGCCTCGCTGCGCACACCAGCTCTCTGCTACTGCTTTAACTGCGGTTACTGCTCGCACTGGGAAGAGGATCACTCCCAGGAATGCGGCTTCAACCAAGCCTCTGCATTTTAAGTGGATGTTTCTGTTTGGAAAGCAAAGCTTCAGGAAACAAGGCGAGGCACAGCCTGGAGAAGCACTTCCATGGCTGCGGCAGGAAGGAGCAGCACTGCTGGGAACAGCCAAAACAGAGACAATGCGAAACCTCTGTGGGCTGTTTGACACCGCGGGCTGGTGCTGGAGCCAGCCAATAAACCCAGGGGCTGGGAATGCATTATCCCAACCCTGACCCCAGCCAGATATAATTATTCGAACAATGCAAACTGGAAAAAGATTTCATCTCAGATAGCTCTGCCTGAGATGGAGATTCATAGTTCATTACGTATTTATAATGAGAGGACTTTGCTTTCTCAAAGGCACGATAATTATTAGCTTCAAGCAGCTTTTGCATTGCAAAATGCTGCTATTTAACCTACTTGGCAGCTGCTGCATTCAAACAGCCATCTAAAGACATTGTTACATTTATCAGCACCTTCGCTCCTCCCTGTACATCACTTGATTCCATCCCTTCCAAAGACACCATTTCTTAGGACAGCATTTCTTGCATGAAATAGAACTGAAGAAACCCCTGCATCAACTCCTTCTGGTTTAATAAATAAATAACTTCTGTATAAAACAGCATTTACAGAAAATGCAACAGACATATTTTGCTGGAAATGTCAGTCCCAGAGGAAAAATCAATAATAATTTACTATAGCATAGCTACTAGGCAGGAATAATATTGTTTATTAGCAAAAATTGTATGGCAAAAGAAATGGAACTAAGGGAGTATCCTACAAAAAAGATCTCCTACATGATCCCAGATTCAAACACAACTTCTGGCTAATGCATAAAAAGTCTAAAGTAGCTGCCAGTATTGTTCTCTTCAGGAAGGACCGAGTATCCAAATATTCTCAGCTGGCATGGGTGGAATTCAAGAGAAAACCTGCATTGACTTATGCCTTGGGAGGAGATGGGTGTTCCCTGAAGACTCCAGCAACTCAGATGTGAAAATGAGTTCTAAGATGAGCACTTTGCAAATTGGTACCCAGGAGAAAACACAAAGAGGCAGCAAGAAAGAAGGATATTCTGCACAGAACGAGCTAATCAAGAAGTAAAACTAATTTCGAGAATAAGAAATGAGGCTTCCATGTCAAATTTGGAATTGAAAAATTGCTCTATCCAGCAACTCTACATGGAAAGTCACTCGAACTTGGAAGTGGATGCCTGGTTTCAAAAGGATTAGTTACCTTCCCAGCTTTTATATCCAGCTCTTTATAGGTCTCAGGATCACAGTAACTCAGCAGCTGGATGCCATCAGCATGTGCAGTCCGTAAAACAGCATAAAACAGAGAGGCAAAACCCTCCCTCATTTTGCAAGGGAGGAGGTGCCAGGACACTTACACATATGGCCAGGGCCAGGGTTCCCCTGCATGGGAATCGGCTCCAGGGCACCATTCCAGGCAGTTCCAACCCCAAATGAGCACTGCCAGTAACACATCACCATTTCAAACTGCTTACCAGTGTCAGAAAAATTCAGTAAGAACTGGAGATGAAGTTCACAATTCATATTGTGACAATACCTTTGAATTGTGAGGGGGAAGCAAAAGCAAAGAGCAGCTGAGAATGGCAGGTTTCAGCATGAGGAAGAAAGGGACTGGCCTGATTTACAGCTGTGTGACTTACGGCCACATCTGGCAGTGTAAGGCCAGGGAATTTTATGGGGAAGGAAACTCCCCTTGATGCTTTTATAATTAGAGTAGACAACGTAGAGATAGTTTACACAAAGTGATTTTTTCTTTGGAAACATTTACCTGAAACCCTGGGCCAGGAACGGTGGGGAGACTACGTACAAAATGACAAATATGAGTGCTCTGGACCTTCCTTTCCATGTGATTCATTCTCCCGAACGGCTCACAGCAGAGACCAGACATGGGTTCTAATTCCCACTGCTCACCTGGCTACAATTATTACAGGGAGAAAAGCAGGTCCTTTCTGTAAACAATAATAATGAGAATTCTAATCTAAAAACATCTTACACATGCTCAGCAAAGCAAAAGCAGATTCTGCTGTTACTTCAGCATTTTGTTTAAATGATACTCAGAATATACAGCTGGCAGAGACAGCACTTGGCTGCTCTCTGTCCTGGCTACAAGGCACAGGGAAGCCACACAGACTTGTCCTTGCATTTTGGCAGGTTTTGGGAAAAAATCCAGATCCACTGAAGCAGTTTGAGCTGTTAGACAGAATTCATGCTTCTAATTAGGATAATTCACTCTAATAGGCCTCCGAAGGCTTTCCAATTTTGGCAAACATCTTTTAATGAGGCTCAAGTTGGATCTGTATGCCTTACATCTTAAAATATTTTAAATAAACACTCCATGCAGAAATCTTCCTGATCTTCAGAAAAAAAGAGTTAGAACAACAAGCTGAAAAAGCAGTACTAATACAAAGACAAAGGGCACAACTTCAGAAGAAGAAGAAGGGTTGTCCTAAGGAAGATTCCTTTTACATCCTGGCAAAGCACCATCCGTTTCAGCTGGATGTTCCTACTGGAATGACAGGGAGCTGTGCTGCAATGATACAAGTGTGGATTTTATTCTTGATGTATGAAGAATAATTGCTTACCCTGTGACCTACGCAGAAAATCCATGCAACTGCTCCCACACAGAAGATTCCATCGGCTCAAGGAAAGCAAGGGAACACTGCAAATTTCAGAGCTGAAACTACAGCACTAATAATTATTCTGGAAGGAATACCTGGATTTTCCTACTTCCCTAGGAAGGGAGTATAAGCAGAGAATGGCAGGGGAAACAGAATTAGCAAAGCAGAGAGTGAATTATGAAAAAGGCTGAGATACTTCCTTGGAAGGAGAGGACCTAATTCAAAATGAGAAGAAAGAGTCCATAGACAAAGAAAATTAAGAGAGAAACAGCTGTTATTTCCCAAAGTTCTCCTACTGAAATTATATAAAAGTGAATATATTCAAATGTCTGAACAGCCCTGAGGGCTGGGATTTTCTTAACTCTGACTTCATTTCCCTTAAACACAGATATTCTCTCAGCATCTTCACACCAAAAGAAAACAGAGGTGGAAGAACCAACTTAAGTGCTCCTGTACCACGATGAAGACCTGAAATATGGGACACTTCTCTCAGGGTATACTTAGGGCAATATCAAACTTCTGGGAGGTTGGACTATGGATGGGAATAGCAGACTTTCACTCTCATTAAACTGGAGGAGGTTCTCTCTTGGAGACATTAGGTTGTGTTTAGCTGCCATTTATCCAGTGTAAACAGACCACTGAATGTAAAATTCATACCTGACACACACTGACAGATCCATCTCGTGGCCTCAATCCAGGAAACTTCATTAAGTTCTGGATTTTTTCAAATCCATTGACCTCCTCCATGTCCACTGAGCTCCATTTACCACATAAGCATTGCCAAGTGAGTGTTCCAAAGGCAGACAGCCCAATCAATACACACTGCACTGGAGACTGAGGTGGGGCAGAGCTGCTGAGGCAGCTTTGCTGCTCCTGCCTCTTCCTTTACACCAGACAGTCATTGATTTCCTCTCCCTGCTGGTGCCAGCAGTGGTAGTTTCTCTTAGGTTAGTCATCTAAAAGAAAAGTCATCCTTCCCTGTCCTGTCCTCCCCCCAGTCAAGTCAGAACAAAGGGAATCAGTGACAGTCCCACAATTTGTTCTCTCCCCAAGAAAGGCACAAAGCTTAAAATGGATGTTTTCTGCTGGGGAAGGACACAAGATAGTCCCTCTGCACAGAGCCCAGAGTGATGCCAAGAGCTGTCTCCCTGTGCAAGGACTGAGGATGGAAAGGGGT